ATTTTCAAAATCTAGAATTATTGAAAAATATTAATTTATAGTTATAACATATATAGTAATTATTTATATTTTATAATATTATTTATTTTATTAATTTATGCAAAAAAATAAATAATTTAATATATAATTATTTTCATAAAAATAAAAAGAATATATTTTATTATTATTTATTAAAAATATTTTATTTATTTATTTATTAAAAAAAAACTTAAGAGCTCAATCTTGCTTGAAACTCAAAAGTTGAAGCTTCGAGCTTGCTTGAGCCAACAGCGCCACCATCGCCAAGCGCTCAGCGCTTTTTGGTTTGACTACGTCATGGTGACGCCGTAAAAATAGCGATTTTTCTACCGCCCGTTATTCATAAACGAAAAAAGATAAATAAAATCTGATTTCAGATTTGAAATCAGGAAAAGCAAATTTATATAAAAATAAGATTAAATTTTATAAAATTATTAAAATAAACACCCCCAATTTTTCATTGCGAACCCTAGACACCGAGTTTCCCATATGTGGGTTGTTTATTCCATATATCACTGTGTGTATGTAGACTCTGTGCAGATAAGTGTGTCTAAATGTGAAGTGAGCCGTAACGGTAAAGTAAGTCTTGTAACCTCGTAGTCTTAGAGTAAGAGATACAGTAAGTAGATCAGTTAAAAAGTAGGTTAAAGTGTGTAGCATGGTGGGTAACTATAGGGACAATCGAAGAGCGTCATAGGACTGACGCAAATTGGGAAGAGTGTATTCTTTACCCGAACAACTACTGCTTCTTTGGAAGGTTGCAATTAGCCTGGGTCAGGGTTCCAATTTTTCTCAAAAAATATTTGAGCGGTGCAAGCGACTGAGCGGTCAACCAAAAAAAAATATTTAGCTGAGCGAGCGGCTAAGTGGACGGCCGAAAAAAAAATTTGAGCGAGCGAGCGGACTTTGAGCAGATTTTTTTTAATGAAAAAAATATTTTTTTTCTTTCCATTTAATAATAATTTCTAGCTTATAATTGTTCCATTCTAACTTACGGTATATAATATATATATACCTATTGCCAAGAAAATATCAAATAAAAATCTTGTTGAAATTGGTGCGCTGTGAACTCGGCTGTGCTGTGTTTCCTGAGTCAGAATTTCTGACTGAGCGAATAAAGAACGCAAGAGAATTCATTAAAAACAATTCTTCGACTCGCGCTTTTAAGGGGAGACCTACGTTTCGCCAGGAAATGCCCAATCACCTACGGTTCTCCAGAAAAGAGAAAATAACATTTTTCCTGGCGAACCGTTGGTCATTTTTGGACCCCCTAGGTCCTTTAGATCTTGTTTTTTGTCGTCTGTTTCCAGATTCGGACGTTTCAAAAGATACTTTCATCGAAGCCGCATTTCAAGCTGATAGAGATGAGTTTGAGAGTTGAATCGTTGGGAGTCAATTTAACCCTTATCCTTTTAAAGAAAAAATCGATCAACTTATGTCAAAAACTTCTATCGTTGGGAATTAATTATAATTTATCAATTATAATTTATACCCTAACCCTTTTATCAGAAAAAATAAATATATATAAAATAGGGGGTGGTCTAAACTTTGAAGGTCATATGTGTGATTAGAACTTCGGGTGGCCTAAACTTTGATCGTTTCCATGTGTGACTCTTTGAGAAAGTGGCCTAAACTTTGAATTTTCCCGGAGGCGGTTCTGCCATCGGTGACTAGAGCACTGCCCGCTAAGGCCACTACGCTTTATGCAGACCAATTAGGATAACGGTTTTCATTCAAGGTGATGACACACATGGTACTAGTCAGAGTGCCTAGGGGGAAATTCAAAGTTTAGACCACTTTCACACATAGGAAGAATCAAAGTTTAGGCCACTTTCTCAAGGAATCACACATGAGAACGATCAAAGTTTAGGCCACACGAAATTCTTATCGCACATAACAACTTCAAAGTTTAGACCACCACCTATTTTACAGTTCTTTTCCTCTTTCGTGGACATTTTTTGTCCCAAAATTTTCGAAAAATGTCCACAAACTTGGGCAACGTCTTCCGAAAAAATGTCCCATCGAAATCGCTTAAAATTTTTTTTTTCGAGATTTGAGTACGCCGAATGGTTTTCTAGACTTTGCATGTATGCTCCTGAAAGACTGACAAAGGCCCCTTTGTCTCTAGTTCAACCTTAAATTTTGTCTTTTTTTCGTAAACAATGAACAACTCGATCTTGATTAGCAAGAATTAATCTCAACACAAAAAAAATTGTCTTTTTTATTTCTTTCCGCGAAAAAATGTCCACAAACTTGGAACAGCATCTTTTATAAAGTGTCCCACTGAAAGGCCTTAAAATGGAAAAAATGTCCACAAACTTGGGGTCCACAAAAGAGGAAAAAAACTGTACTTGATAAAGTTAGCAAACAGTCGAGTTTCTAGAATATACCTACGGTTCGACAGGAAACAAAATTACCTTCCTGGCAAATCGAATATTTCCTGGCGAAGCGTAGCTAACCGCTTTCAAGAACGACAACTGATAGTTCTAAATTGGCGCAAGTGCTCAAAACCTGAAAATGGCAACAAGGGCAACATGTTGCCTTTGTTGCCCATATTGCCTTCTTTGCCCATTTTTAGGTTTTACCTGCTCAAGCTCTCTTGCTCCATAAAAAAATAGAGAAATTAAAAGGATCAGCGCGGAAATAATTGTGCTATTGACAGGTTTTAATTTCGCAGTGCGAATTCGTTTTTTCACCGAGTGAAGAGAAGAATCAGAACCTTTCAGAAATCATCGTCAATTATGTCAATAACCTTTTTTAAATCAGTGTCATCAGAAATAATTCAAAATGTACTTCTGCTAAAGAAAATAAACATTTTACGCTTAAAAATGTCAGAAGTCAAAAAAGTCTACGCCTAAGTTGCGGATTCGATTTGAGAAAGTTTTGCAACTATGGTCCTCGCTTTATTTGATTAGAAATTTTTGACCTTATTAGCAGAGTCGCATTTAATTCGTTTGCAAGTGCATGGACAATCATTTTTTTACCAGTTCCAGATGCTCCTCCTATAAAGATTCCTTTGGTATGCGGAGATATCAGATAAAAGATTCGTCTCGGGAATAAATCTGATTGGTCATTATTTTTCGGGTGACGGATTCTTTTTGGCAAAGAATGGCACTCGCTTATTTCGGCCATTTACGCGGGTTCCATTCTTTGCTCAATATTCTTGAAAAATTTCTTATTTTAAAAATTACGAGTTCCAGTTATTTGGCAATCTGTTAACCTGTAGTTACCTCGGATACCTGATTTAAGGCACACTTTTTGGTGACGTTTTTTTCGTAAAATGTGCCTTAAATTTGAATTGGGTTGTTGACGGTATAAAAATCGACTGTTAGACTGGCGCGAAGCGCACATAAACTTCCTGACTATCAAAATCTGGGGTCGGCAACTCGACACTCAAATCTCGTGTAGAGTCGATTCCAGTCGAGTTCATTATTCTTTAGCGAGTGTCGAGTCGAGTTCTGTCGAGTTTTAAAAATGTGATGATTCAAAATTTTGCCTCGACCGGCTTTTTACGACGGTCTGCCTCGGATGATTTTCGTAAATGACGATGACTCCGGCATTTATGACCGCCAATCTCAGGTATTCATCTCGAAAAATTTCGACAATAGTCGACAATTTTTACGCTTTATAATAATTACTCGGGCTGCCTTATTTTAGGTGAAAATATTTTTATGAGATTTATTGACACATGTAAATGGCTATTTGAGGTGCGGGTTATCCGAAAGGACCCGGAATCAACAGCCCTGTTTCGTAATTTGATTTCTGCAAATGACTGCAAGGCAGAAACTCTTCAACTGCCCAAAAGGAGTTATTGTGAAGTGGTGCCAACTAGGCCGATTTCCGCGTTTGTCTCAATTCTAGTGACAGTTACGGCCCGCACCCCACTGCACACCTTACGCGGCGACCACGCTGACCAGTTCCACCTCGCTTGTCAGATTGGCAGTCCCATGCATCACACTTTTACGCCTTCTGCAACACCCTGGTGCCACCATTTTTTACTCTCTCTCTATCGCAAAGCCACATTGAATCTCAACCCTTTATAACCTTCTGTACAGCAATTTTTCGACATTCACTCTTCCCAATATACTTCGTCCTCTGTGATCCCAATAATTGTCGAGTCACTTTTTGCGGCTCAGTTGAAATCCTTTCACTTGTGTCAGAAGTTACGATTTTACGACAGCGGGAGCAACAACAGAGGCAATGAAGCCATGATGCCGGATTCCGAAGGGTTAAATTTAAACGAACTTGACCAGACACTCCAACAACCAAGCGCTTGATCAAACGAAGCAGCGACATTGACGAGAGCAATTACATTCTCATCAGCGACAACGATGAATCCGGTGAGCAACCTCACGTATCCTTCTCAAAGGGACCCAAACGAAGAGAACGAGTTGTTACCGAATTTGAACCTCCAAAAGGATCAACAACCGCGCAGTCGTCGGACGAATCAAAAGCAACCCCCGAGTTCATATTCAAAATATAAATCGTCAATTACCTCGCCGGTTGGTCTTTTCTGTTGTTTAAGATTAAATCAGGCTCGCTTTTGTCCTTACCATCTAAAAAACTAATATCGTAAAAATGTACCGATGTTTTATTTAAAGCAGCAATATGCAGGCGAGCAGAATCGCTTCGGGTTTTACTAAAACGAAAGGGCAAAGTTCATAAGAAAGCTCAACAGAAAATAGATTTTTGCCAAAGATCAAAACATTGGACAACAAAAGACGCTTTTTCAAAAGCGAACGAAAATATGAATGCTGCTTCGGAGTGGCGTTGGCGACGGCGGCAGTTTAAACTAAGGAAATCTGTTATTTTTCGTTCTTGTAGCCAAATAATTACCAAGTTCGACAATGTTTGATGCCTTCTTGAGCTGTCGGCGGTGATAGGATCGCTCTGTAATGCCAAAATCAATCTTTGGCGATTTAAAAGATGATTATCTCCCAATCTTTGCTTTGAAGGGAGTGTGTTTGAGAGACAAACAAGCATCAAAGTCGCCAAACTTGAAAAAATGGCTGCTTCGACGGCGTTTTCCTAAAAAGCGAGTTTTGGCCGATCTTGTTTTTTATTTTCACCTAGGTGCGCATCTAAAGAAGTAGTTAATTGCTGTAACAGAATATATCAGTTTCGTATCGTCAGTTTGTGGTCGCGAGAGTGTTGAATTTGCAGGTCTACGCAGGATTTTATCACGTGGTGACTGAAGTTCACAACAAGAGTTCCCTGACTTTGTGTTGCGGAACTCGGGAACGGACCCTGTACGACCACATTTTCAAACCTCGAGCCTTGTCTTTAAGTACAAGAAGCTATAATGAATTACGTATTTCTCACGCCAAAAGGCAATGAGTTCTATTCGGGAAATCCCGTTGGCGTTCACAAATAGTGACGCCGCAGTCCGTGATCGGATAATAATTGCATGGTAAGATCACTTGGTGACGGTCATAAACAATGAGGTCAGGAAATCCCTGAAGGATAACCGGTTTGTGGATCAAATCGCGAATTGACCTCTCACATGGGGCGAAAATGGTGGTGAATTGCCGTCAACAACAGGCCATTTGTCGATTCCGCTCCAGTTGAGGGAGTTTGAAGAATGGAGAGTCGCAGGCCGCGACGATACGCGAAGGTAAATGCTGCGGGTATAGGGATTTACTGTCTTTATTTTCCCGATGAATCAAGTTGGCCCTTGAAGGAAGTCGCCCGAGCTGGGCGCGGCGCTTCTCAAGAGCACTTGAGCTCACTATATAACCGGCTGTCACTAGTCCAAGAGCAGCTATTTTCCAAATACGCCACTGATTAAATAAATTACAATACTATGAAAGTTTGATACTTTATTATATAGAGAGTAAACCTCTACAATGGTGTCTGAAGTGTTTAAGAACAGCGACTCTAAAAACTGCTGCGCATAAACGACGCAGATAGGTAAGCACAATAGGTGCCCGATTAAAAATCGAAAGAAATGACCAGCATGAGCAAGACTGGCACGGAAACCAACTAGTCCGCATTGTCGTGATCACCCAACGATCAGCCAAATGCTGAGCAAGCGCATTATTATGCCGATATCGGTGCGAGAGTTAAGTCTTTGAAGCTGACACTCAAACCATACAAACAACAATTAACCACAGCTATACGTTGAAAAGAAAATCTCCACCGAAAATGAAGCGAAATGCAAACATGTGTTATTCCGTGACAAGAACTGGAAAATATTGAACGACTGAAATAAGAATATCAAAACCCCGGCATTATCGACACGGGTGCTTGCATTAGCGTTCTGAGCGGAGCACTTTTCCAAAAATTTCCAGCATTTTCGAAAAACGTCAACTCCTGAAACCGACAGCGAATTTGCAAGGAGCAGGCGGAGAAAGGCTGGACGTCCTGGGAGAAATCGAACTCTCTCTCAAACTCGGACACGAAAACGAACAAAAAATCGATTTTGGGAAAGTTAAATTCGCCGTTGCCAGGAACGTTAAAACAACTATTATCATCGGGCTGCCAGCATTGACGAACAGAACGATCAAAATCTCACACAGCAAGATACAAATCGACGGAGAAAGCATTATGCTCCTCCGTAAGAAAACAACCAGACTATTCGAAGTAAAGAAAGCTGATCGAGTAATGGACTGGACAATATTAGAAGTCCAGGCACCAGTCGACCAGACGGAGGACCGAGCGATACGGGAGCAGCTAACCTTTACTGTCCCCACAGCTTCCGGTCCCCTGGACGTCTCTGTATGGCTAAACAACCGCAGTGAGTTGAAAGCTGCAAACCGATTTACCATACCTCTCCCACTTGCCCTGGAAAAGTTCCTAGGACTATCCCGGCCAGGGTGTCCACTGGAATTTTCGAAGTCAGAAGCGATGCTCAAGCCAAGGCAGGTCGGGCGATGATCCGCGCGCTGTCACTTCAGACAGCCAAGACAGCGGAGGAGACGCGGGACGTGCGACCCGAAGACAAAACTGTTCTCCGTCCTGGGACAACTGTGCTGATGAAACGCCAAAGGGCCCCCGGGGAGTCAAACTCTTTCGAAACTGGTAAGGGCGGCTCACAGTCTCGAAGCGTTTAGACGTTTACACTTACCTTCTTGCGACTGATCTCTACCCAAGACGACAATTTATTGCGCACAGGAGCAACATTCGGTCTGTCGCAACTCCCCAAATTGTCGAAGAAAAGGAAGGATGCGCATCCGAGGTACGTAAAATTCACTGAAACGGAATGAAACTTAAAATTACCGGCACGACAGGCAGAGGAACCACACCAGAACCGGCGGTCGGGCTTTAGTGAGAGAAAACGCATCAACTATAGGTAAGTTCCAATGCATCTCTTTGGGGAAAGAGCGCACCGACGGTATTCGCATTGGAAAACGTATTGACATCTATTTAGGGAATAAACGCCCTGGAAGAGAACAACTGAAAAAAATACTCACTGAAACTATTGAAATATCGCCCCTTAACCTTACCCCGCCAAATCGTCATTCTGTCCTTGCCCGCCAAGAACACCTCAGGAGATGCATCTGCTCTTCAAAGAGGTTATTAATTGATATTAATATGACATAAAATCACATATTGATACCGAAATATATTTTATTCTTGAAAAACTATGTTAGGTCATATTGTAATTGAGAATCATGCATATTATATGCAAGGAGCATATTTAGTTGATTGCAAACTTCTAGTGAATGGGGGAAGTGATTTTCTTTTTTCGGCAGAAAATCCCATGCCTACCCGCCAAAAACACCTCCCTAGGTGCATCTATCATATAACTTATATGATATAAGCTATGCACCTCAGGAGGTGCATGCACTAATTTTTAAAATACACCGATTTCCGAACCCTAACCCTAACCGAAGGCGCTCAAAGAGTAACCAAAAAAAGCTTATCGATAAATAGCTCTACAATTTTTTTCTTTTACAAAAAATCAAAGTCCTTCTTTTCAGAAACATCGCCTTCACGAATTGCTTGCAAAAACCGCGAGTAAATCAAAGTAAAGTTCTATAGCATCCGTTTTAACGTTATTTCACTTCAGTCGGAATAGAGAGATTTTAGGAAGTTCAAATAATTTGAATTGCTACTTTGAAAAGTACTACTTTTTAGAGCACTTTTTTTTCGATTTCAAATTTCTCAATTTCAACACTATTTATTAGGCCATTAACCAGCAAAACTGGAGATGGAAAATTTTCACGTCAAAATTTGAGGCGCTAGTATTTCCTAAAGATTATATACTTTCCAAATTTATGACTCCCCAAAAATATTCCGAGACTCAATTCACCTGATTATCGGTTTGCTTAACTCCTAAGGGTCATGGCACAATTGAACCCGAAATTAAAAAATACAGTCGACACGGAAAAGACTAGGCATTCAGGTGCGGAACATTCAATGCTTCGGACACTCGTCAACTGGCAGTTGACGACTTCCACGGAAAAATGAGCATAACCGGTAAATAAAATGCGAACTTTGGTTGAGCCGCGTTTGAAGCACCAACTCTACCATGGTCGAACTTATCAAAACTCCATCGGTGTAACAAGGAGTAATGTTTAAATGATTGACAGATTCCACGAAATTTATATTTGATTTAATGACGAAAATTGTCGGCAACGAAAGGCTGAGTTGACCATATTATGTTTTTGAAAAGAATTTCACGAGCGGAAAGAACTCGAATAAAAGAACACAAATGCGTTTAGATCAACGGCAAAACCTCAAAACACATAATCAGCTCGGACCGCCACGAGACTAACTTTGATCGAACGGGAAGTCGTGAATTCATACGACGTAAAATAGATAACCCCAGAGGAGAGGGAAAGAAAGGGTTGAAAATAATCCGACATTGCTTTGGCAAGCAAGGATAACATGCCACCAAGAACATGTCACCAGAACCAAGAAAATTTTGAAATCAATCGAGCGGAAATCGCACAGAATTGACGATAATAATAGACTTCATTAATGAGTGTCGAGAGAAAAAGTGTCTGACGTGAGGTTAGATCTCGATAGGACCGCAAAGAAACATCACTATCATTGTCGATGATTCATAGAGCAAGTACTCCTCGTCTTCTGCATCAGGGTAGTCCCTGACTTGATCCTCGCTTCGACCAAATCAAACATTTCCCCAAATCAAATCAGATCTGATCTGCAAAATTCGATCTGCAAAAAAGTGTATATCAACATACACTTTTATGATGAATTGTGATCACAAGCAAATTTAATCTCCATCTTCGTTCTAGAATCGTTTGGTTTAACGTCATTATGTTCCCAGAGGGCTCAAAATGATGAGCGCTGCGAGATCTATCTTTTGGAGGTCTGAGAGTGTCGGTCAGTGACATGGTTTTTGTTGTGTGGCGGGTAGAAGATTTGGCTAATGCAAAATGAGCTGGATCGATGACCAAGTTTCCGCCAGGGGTCGTTTTCATAAACGGATATTTCTTTTTGGCTTTTTTCGTAATCTCCTTGGTGATTGCTGTCTTCGTTTTCCCTGTAATGTCGACTTCAATACCCATGTGTTTCGCAAGGACTTTCATTTCAAGGATTGTAAAATTGCTTAGGTAGCACTTGTTTTCAAGCATGAGTGCATTATGCTTGATCAAGTAGAATCCCTCGGCGTCTTTGTCCCAGTCGGGATGGTGAAGTCGTATCCATTCGTTTATCTTCTCCACCTTCTTTGCTTTCGAATTTTTCAATGTTGCCCATGTTCCAAGTTTCACTCCGCAATTATATTCTTTAATAAATTTGTCTAGGGCTTTTTCGTGGAGGTCGGCCATTCTTTGGAAGACGGGGGAAACAAGCCTGCGTGGTTCTGCTTTGAGATCCTGATTGTTTGTGACTTCGGCAACTTCTGTTGATTGGCTGTCGATTGAATTGTTGTCGTCCTGTTGGGTACCTGATGAGTCGAGATCATAAAAAACAGTCTCGTCTGCTTGCTTGGTTTCATCTGAACACGTGGCTTCTTCACGTTGTTCTGCGAATGTTTCGGCCTGTTCTTCTTCCTGGGGGGAAGTGGAAGATTGGTTTGTGCTGTCATCTTGGTCAAGGGCTGTTTGGCTTCTTGTCTGGATGAAGTATGAAACTCTTTTCTTCAATTTTCTTGGCTTGGGTTCTTGTATGTCCGTATCTTGCTGTTGTTTCTCCGGTTGATCGTCTCCTGGTCTGCTTATAAAGGGCTTCAAATGGCTAATGTGTCTTGTCATATCGCGTCCTGTCTTCAGATTGAGTAAGTCGAAGCTCAGGCCTTGGTTTTTAATAGCGGTTATCTTCAAAGGTCCTGTCCATTTGTAGATTTTCTCCAGTGGATCCATGTAATTGCACAGAACGAGGTCGTTTTCCTGAAATTTGTGAATATCCTCGTTCTCAGATCGTTGTGTTTCGTGATTTGATTGGATTCTCTCTCGAATTGGCTCAAAGTTGACATTTTCCCTTGTTTGCTTCTGGCGATATTTGTCATTGAGGTTTTCTCCCTTGAAGCCTGTTTCAATTTCAAATGGCGACGCCATTCACACTGCATGTTTTGCCTAGTTCATCTGGTGAATGATCGTTGGTAGCCAATGATCCCAATTTTCCATTCCACAGGCAAGTTTGAGTCGTGATTTAATGGTCTGATTTCGATTCTTAACTTCTCCATTCGTTTGAGGGTGATATGCTGGAGAAAGCCGAACTCGAAGTCCTTTTTCTTCCGCGAAATCTCTTACTGCTTTGAATTCTCCTCCATTGTCCATAAAAATCTCTCTTGGCAAGTGAGGGTTGCGGAGCCATTCTGATCGAAGAGCGTCAAGAACTTCCTCTGGTTTCTTTGAGCGAAGTGCGGAAGCGTTTGTTCTTTTGCTAAACAAGTCGGTTGAAACGCAGATAAATCGTCGGTAGTTGTCCGTGATAGGTAGCGGTCCAATGAGATCGATCGAATATCTCTCGAACGGTTGAGAAGGCGCAGTTACATGTCCAAGTGGAGCATTGAGTGGATTCGTTGTTGGCTTCATAAGTTGGCATTTTCGGCAGGATCGAATATAGTTTGTCACGGTTGCCTTGAGGTTAGTGTAAAAGTCCTTATTCTCAATACTTTTTAGTGTCTGAGTAATACCAGGATGCCCGGATCTATCGTGATACTCCTCCAAAATTTCTCGGTGTATTGAGACCGGTGGGATTGCCTTGAATCCATTCTTGTCTACGCCAAGCTCGCCATTATCTCCAAAACAAAGTTGATCTCTGTGTCGCTTAAACTCTTCGGCAGTGGTGTCTTTGTTCTCCGGCCAACGATCGATCTTGTGAAATTTAATGACATCTCGCAGAACGTCGTCCGATTCTTGTAGAAAGAGAAAATCACGAGGCTTTACCATGTTGATTGTAGGTTTTTTGAGCTCGTTGATTTGTCGAGAAAGGCAGTCCGAGATTTTCATTTCCTTTGACGGCTCATTATTTTGTGCGCCCAGTTTACAACCGAGTTGTCGGTGAACCAAGTGAACCTCCGACCGAGAAGATAGTGACTCCATTTTTCCATTGCTCGCTTGCCGGTCAAAAGCTCCTTCTCACTTATATTATAATTTCGCTGCGCGTCGTCAAATTTTTGTGATAGATAAGCGACGGGGCAAAATTTTTCATTCGTTGTCTTCTTGTAGAAGAGTGCTGCTCCGATGCCAGTCTCACTTGCATCTGTTTCGATAGCGAACTCACCAACATTGGGGTATGGGATTTTGAGAGCGTCAACCATGTTACTTATTTCGCTTTTGAGTTCATCCAATGCTTTTGCTGCATCGTCGGTCCATCTAAATCCTTTGCTCGTTGCTTTATTGATTGGGGCAGCTTTTGGAGCGAAGTGAGGAATGCAGTTTCGATGGTAGTTGAGTAGTCCAAACGGGGCTCGGAGAATGGCGTTCCTAAAACTTTTTTTAAGGAACCGTTCCTAAATTTTAGGAACCGTTTCTTATTTTTAAGAACCGTTCTAAAAATTTTAAGCGAAAATCGGGAGAATGGCGTTCCTAAATTTTAGGAACGGTTCCTAAATTTGCGTAACCGTTCCTAAAGTCACGAGTAAGCGTAAGGGGTAGGGTTAGGGTTAGGCCTCGAAAACGAGTTTTTCCTTCAAATCAGGCGCGGAGCGCATGCAGACTCTAAGAATAATTCGTTAAAACTATTTATTTTCGCCAAGTTTTCTCTAAAAAAGGTTAGGGTTCTATATATTTAGGACTTTCACGGAAAAATCAAGGTGCTCCGATAACTGTGAAAATTTATCATCTAGTACTTTTTTTTTGCTGATTCCAAATATGTACTTAATTTTTACATAAATCCACATGGTGGCGCGTGAGAGCGCTTCAAACTTTCGAAGATGGCACCCCTTATACTAGCCTTTCAGGTTATTTATTTCATTCCAAAGATGGTTTGAATAAAGTAATCTTGCCATCAAATCTCTTTCTTGTGATATTTTCTCGAAAGAGCTCACTATTTAAGACTTTAATAAGCTTGAAAAGCTCTCAGAACAAGCATTTATTTTTAGCGCTGTCTCACAGCGAGCGCGCGCTAATCTTAATCAATTCACTGAGCGGAAATAAGAATAAATAGTTTATCAGTATTAGGCAGTAAAAACAGCTGTTATCATTAAATCAGAGTTCTTTGGCGATTTTTCTTCTTTTCGGAAGCGACGACCTGAGAGGCGTTTTGTTCTCCTTCTTCAATTCCTTTTTCAGTTGTTTTTCAGCTTTTTCCTTTTCAATCGATTCTCGGCGCTTTGCGGCGAATTCTTGTAGCTTGAGCTGAGTTGCGATTCTTGCCAAACGGTTGTTTTGAAGAGCTTTCTTTCCATCAATTTTCTGGCAAAGTGATTTCATCTCGGAGTCGGTCAAGTTATCCAAGTAGAATTCGAGGTTGCTCTTTCTGGCGATCGTTAGCTGAATCACTGTTTCAGTTGTGGCTGAAGCCTTGTCTAGTTCAGCCTTCTTGAAGATTCCAAAAACAGACTCAGCAAATCTGTTGACGCAGACATAGTGGCCACGAACTGTCAGCGACTTGTAGTGATTGAGGTCTTTGTCAATCTTGTACTCAATTTTCTTGACTAAGGCTCTGGCAGCATCGTCAACGGCCTTTCGAATGGTCGGGCTTCTTGGAGCATTCACATGAACGTCTTGCTTTCTAAAAATCGGGTGAAAACTGAAATTTGGCTGATTAAAGCCTCAAATTTGGCTGTTCTCAGAACAGCCCTTTTGAGAAGATCAAGGCTGAGTAAAGCCCCTTTTGGTGAAAATTTTTACTTTTGGCCAGATAAAGCCCATATTACCTGTAATAGTCCCTGGATTTTCCACTCGCAAGTCGGTAAAGATCGTCAAAGGGATTTTCCGATGAAAGAATCTGCTTGACTTCCTGCGCGCAGCCTTCCATGGTGCTGATGACATCTTCGATTCTTGAATCTTCCTCTTCTGCTTTTCTTATTATCGGACCACAGAAAGTCGACCAGATGAAGACAGGTACCGCGATTTCCAGCATTGCTCCTTCTTGGCCGAGTAGTTCACAAAGGTTCTTGGCGCGTGTGTTTTTCTCCTTGTTTTTCTCAAGGGATGACATGACAGCGTCGTAATGAAGCAGAAGATTTTGCGCATTTTGTCGACCTGTCCCCATTCTGCTTCCAAGATCAGTTGTGAATGGAAATTTTTCTCTCGATTCACCTCGGGCCATCAATTCGTCCACCAGCCTAAAAGCTTTGAATTTCAATGAATACTTGAAATAGATTTACGTTCGCTTAATGTCGTCCCTATGGAATCCAGAATCCTTAGGAGATCCAAGTAGCATTTTGGTCTCCTTTAGAATTTGCTGGCCTCGCTCAGAAAGGCCTTCTTGGCACTTTTTATCGAGGTTTGACGCTGTATGCATGACTCACCAGAGGACTTCGACGATTGCATTTGGATCTTCTTTCTGGACTTTGATGTAGTCAACAAGACGACTGTTCGCGTTGAGCTGGCCGGTGAACGTATCTGATAGAATCGTGTCCGCCTTCGACCAGATCGCATGTCCGGTGTTCTTTTCTTGTTCGATGCTGGCGATGATGGCTTGTGAAGTATTCTCACCGTCCTTTCCCTGGCCGATCAGAATATCGTAAAGAATCTGCTCCTTTCGTTCATTGATGAGCGTAATATTGATAATATCAATATTGGCCTTGGCTGTTGTCTAAATTTGGATTATTGTCTGAGTAAAGCCCTCAAATGGGCTGTTCTAAGACAAGCCCCAAAACTTACCCCGTCAGTTCCGATCGTAAGACGATTCGAATTTGATACGAATTCTTCAATCTGCGACCTGGAGGCGAGAGGTATTTGCTCTCTGAAGCGATGCATAGTGGCGATTGATGGGGAGGCTCGAACTTTACCGTCTAGCTCGCAAAATTCTTTGAATCTGTTGTGGTAGCGGTTGTTCATTCTCTGTATCGCGGAAACAGGGTCGCCAGTAGAAACTTGAGTCAGAAGTTCCATTCTCGCTTCTACAGACAGCCTCGGATTATTGGAACCCTTGCCCTTCGTCGTCCCCTTTTCTTGTGACTCCTTCACGAAAAATTTACTGGCTTGGAGTTGACTTCTTGATGTTGAGGGTCCCGCTTCAGCTTTTTTCTCCGATTCTTCTTCTGATTCGCAATAGGTACCATTTGTTTCTGCTGCTTTCCGTTTTCTTTTTGCAGCTGCGATCGGGTTTTCTTTCTTCGGGGGAAAATCTTGCGAGCCTGAAATTTGCGTTACTGGATGCTTGATTTTTTGTTAAAATTTACCTCCATTTCGAAAAAGACGAGTAGCTTTCTCAGTAAATCTCTTTGGATGTGGTCTCTCTGGAAAAAAGAAGTTTTCTTCGTCATTCTTCACAGCTCTGATGAATCGGTGAAGAATTCTGCAATTTCCTTTCCCGAAGAACTTCTTCTCTTTGTCAGCGTCGATCTCTTCTCTTGTTGTTAAACCCTTTTCAATTCATTTATTTTCTGCTTTTTCTAATGTCAAGAACATATTTAGGAATAATACATTCCATTAAAACACTGGGCAGGCAGGAAATAAACATCGAACCACCTGTTTTTGTCACCTCGCAATAGAAGGTTCGGACCGCGCTGCGGGCGATTCAGCTTGGCGCTTCGAGCGCGCACCGAGAGTACTCTAGTTATCTGACGATTGTGGGCGACAGGAGGGACCAGGAAAATTTATTTTTTGAGAGAAGAGCGATGAATGTTTGATTAATAACATATCGAAAAATGAGCGTCCGGCCAAGATCGGCTCTATATGATTTACCCCTTCGAAAAGTAAATTTAATGTTTTTGATTATTTTCAATCTTTTTTTGCCATTTTTTTTCTTATATTTGGAATCAGCAGGTAAGATTACATATAACTCCTAAAAATCAAAAAGAAAGGATCAATATTTCGGGTGGTTGGGGAAGCGAAAATGGGGCCCTCGCGCTCCCGTGATAGTCCCTATATATATTTTTGACTTTTCTCGCCTGAAAACTCATTGCAAGAAAGCTTTAAGGGTAAAACGATCTTTCTTTAAGAAAGGTTAGGGTTTAATAGTTTTTGACTTTTCAAAGTAGTATAAATATATTTTTTTTTTCAAAAAAGGGTCGGTTTGAAACAGGTTAATTTCTCCGTGGCTGGTTGCAAACTAATGAAAATCAGCATAAAAAATCATTTCTAGAATAGAGGTTTAGGAACGGTTCCTAATTTTTAAGATATTTTCATTTTTTAGGAACGAGGATTTTTGGAGAATCGCGTTCCTAATTTTAGGAACCGTTCCTAAATTTAGGAACCGTTCCTAATTTTAGGAACGCCATTCTCCTACCCCCGTCCAAACACGCTTGCTGCTTCCGTTTTTGAGGTCGGCTGTCGTTATTCTCGAACAGCTTTTGTTTTTCCAGGATTTGGGAAGCAGAACCCATTTTCGATAACCGCTCCACAAAATTTGATTCATTTTTTCAGAAATTCTGTCTTCGCGGCTCTTATTGTTCCGGCGGAGGACCGATAATACTTTCTCGATGATTTCTAGGTTCTTTTCGTATGACTGTGAGTGAAGGCACAGATCGTCCAGGTAAATCGCAAGTTCACTACTCAGGATTTCATTAAAAATTTTGTCCATCATTCTTTGAAAAACGGCTGGGGCATTCTTTCCCCCCATTGGCATCGCAGTCCAAGTGAACTGACCAAAGTCGGTCGTGATGGCGATTTTCTGCTTTGTTTCGTGATCGCAGGGAATTTGATGAAAGCCCGTGAAAAGGTCGGCTGTAGAGAAGACTGATGATTCTGACATTTGGTCGATGAGGCCATCGATGTCTGGCAATGGATACTGATTCGCTATAGTCACCTGGTTTAATTTCCTATAGTCGCAAACAAGCCTCCATTTACCATTTGCTTTCTTAACAAGAAGAACAGGAGCAGCCCAAGGATTTGAGCATGGTTCTAGAAGTCCAGACGAGATATTTGCGTCGATAATTCGTTTCATCTCCTTTCGAAGAAAGTATGGTGTTTGATAACGTTGTGAAGCAACAGGTGCGGCGCTTCCTGTGTCGATGCTATAGGACATTGCTTCTAATGTGCCGAGTTTTTCATCTTCGACGGGAAATCTATCTGTGTAATTATAGACGATTACGTCTTACTTTCTTCTTATTTTTGGTGGGGCATCGCCGATTGAGAGCTCATTCATGATTGCCTCGAATTTTCCTTCCGTTGCTTCATCTGGTAGTCTCACTTCGACCTCGTTGATTCGACAAACGACTGAATTTTTACAGATGTTGATCGGTACCGCAGAATTGTTCGCGATGTGAATTCGTGCGTGATTTTGAAGGCTGCTCAATTGAATACACTGGTCGTAAACTTCGAGGGTTATATTTTTGTTGATGGATTCCGGTAGAGCACAGATAAAGCTTGTGGGTAATTCGGAGAGGTTGACATTGATGAAAAACGATGATTTTGGCTGGATTGTGACTTGTGAGACGGATGTCGCGGTTGTTGAAAAGAACTGGGATTTCGATATGGCTTTGATGCCAGCAGCCCGACTTTTGCATATGATGATCGGCTCGGACGTGTTGCCTTGTCGAAGGCAGCTGGCTCGTAGGTCGATAAGAAAATTGTTTTCGGATAGCTCGGGAGTACCGAGGATGGGCGAACAATGGTCTCCTACAATTTGAAATATACAATTTTTAAGTATTAGCTGTTCTATTTCCAAATTGGCGGAGAGGCAGCCATTGAATTTCATTTCCATTCTACGATTGTAGCTGTATGGATGATGGGATGATAGATTTCTGCAGCGAGGGAGGGATAAGGGAGCGGGGGATACAGGACATCTAGGCGCCGGTATCTAGTTGAAACGTTGTTTGCTGTCCATAAATTTTTGCGCGATTAAGAAGTTTTGGGCCGACTCGATCCATAATAGACGAGACAGAAGCGTGGATTCTATCTGACGAATGATAAAGTCCGGAGATTAGTTTTTTGGCTGTCGGGACGGGCAGATGTCCTTGATGTGACCTCGTTGATTGCAGATGTGGCAAATGACTGTTCCTCTACAGTTCCTCTTGGAGTGCCCCTTCATTCCGCAGGAATAGCAGGTGATAATTGTACCATCACGTCGTCGGTCAAGCTGAGCTCGCGGTCGTTCTTGGTAGTATTGATTCGTTTGGGGAGCAGTAAATTGAGCCGTCGTGTTGATCGCGTTTTGCTGCTCCGTCGTCTGTCGATTGGGATTGAAACTTTCTCGTGAAGATTGTCGAGGAGTAGCCTTAACCTTGTTAATCTCCGCAAGTTCCATTTTGAGCGCGTCCATTTTTACGTCCATCTTGGAAAGAAGTTGAGAGAAAGAAGCAGATTCGAGTCATAATGCCGAGACTTCTTCCTTTAAGAGTGTGTTTTCCATGCTGACAGCACATATGTCGACGCGACGTTTGAATTTTTTCATCTTGTCTAAGTATTCGGCAATTTGTTTTGGAGTTTTTGATGACTGTCCTTGGTCCAGAATGTATCGCTTGAGGTCCGGTGTCAGGTTTGCGTTGAAGGATTCCTCTAGAAAATGTTCTTTCAGCACGTCTTTACCTTTACTTGCTAGAGTGGCAAGTTTTTCGATTCGGGTATAGAATCTTGTGAAGGTTTCGTCCTCGTCAGCTCGTCTGGTGATGTTTTAGAGTTTCTTTCGAGCCTCCCTCGCTAGTTCCTCTGGCTTTTCTTCTCAAATGATCTGGTGAAGCAATGTGTAAAAGTCGGTTGAGCCTTTGACATCTTCAAATTCGTCTTCGTATCTCTCTCGAAATGTTCGATCAAGATGGGAGAGGCAGATTCGTCGGCGTGTGCTCTTGAACTGTGCTTCAAAAACGGTCTTCGTTTCTTCGTTTATCTTGTGCTCGGCCAATGACGCCCTGAAGATCAAGCCCATTCTTTCCAATTTCTCTTTCAGCTCAGTCTCGATTCTCTTGAGTTGTGTCTTTGTAGTCCTTGTCGTTATCTTAGTCTCTGGCATCGAATTATTCGTGAAGTCCTTAAGAAGTTCGATTGGGTGTCGAATCGCATAGTTGGTCACCATGATACGGCTGTAAAAGAGCAAAAGGAGAAATTGAACCTTTCGATTGGTTTTATTGTGAAATTGAATAATTTTGTCTTGGCAGAGCTGCTTATAAGGGGTCAGAAATGCGTCGAGCGTAAAATCAGCTGGGTGAAGTGGGTCAATTGGTCAATGATTCGAATCAGCGGGTCGTCACTCCCACGATTGGAATCCGGTTGGCGCGCAGATAAATAAGAATAAGAAAGGCATGCTGTAAGGCGTAAAATTCATATATAAAATATTTACAAAATATAAAGTTTTTCTACAGTCGTGTCAGCCATCAGTCATCGGCGGGTTTTGAAATCGTGAAGTTGGCATTGAAGAGAAAAGTTTTCTAGAATGTCGGTGCAGTGAGTCATTGTCATGAGCTTGGGAAGGACTGAATTTGTCAGGCGATGCAAGTTCTATCGTTTGCGGGCTTGGCGAAGTCGATCGGTCGAGTAGTCGTCTTTTTATGGCTGAACAAGCGTGATTTTTCGAAAATTTTGTCCGAACAATTTTTCTGGAGCTCAACAATTTTCTAGAACCATGATGAATCATCGGATCGTGCTGGTTGACGGCTTAAAATGTTGCTTCTGGTTATGTCCTTCGGGTCCAATTTGCAGAAATTGAATTCAAATAAAATATAGAAACTAAATTCATAAAAGCATTGTGAAGTCATCATCAATGGATGTCCTTGTCAATTTTACATCACACCGTCTAATTTAATGAATGTTGGTGTGTTTCAGGGAGAAGTGGTCAATAATTTTTAAATGATTAAATAACAGATATTACTGAAATATCGACCTCAAACAAAGCACTATCTGCTTACGATTATGAATTACGAACCCTGGCAGATGATGCTGATCTGTGACAATCATCGTTCACACAAATTGAACGGAAACGTTCACACCCGCTTGATAATGGAGACTCTGACTCCTGGAAGTACTTCAAAATCACAGGAAGGGCTGGATAATTTTAAATCACCGAAAATCTCAAATCACATTTTGTCTGAAATCTCATTTCCATTTCAAAATTTCGCATCATCTCAGCAAATCTCAAATCTCAGAATTTTCGCAACATCCTAGCCATTGTTACCATATTTCTGAGATTGCTTAGATCTCAAAATTTCAAATCTCAACATTTTGCAAACCGGGCAGGGGTCGCGGATAAACTTCGCGCGCCAAAAACAAGACTCGTGATTGGTTCAGATAGGTCTGAAATGCTTGAGATCTCAAAATCTCAAATCTCAATTCATTGCAACGCGCGAATCTAATTCACGACGTTACTTGAGAAAAATGCGATCTCAGCATTTCAAATATCATTTCGTTGCAAAATTAAAAATTGAGATTTCAAACAGAAAATTTATTAAGATCTCATTTTTGAAATGGATGAGATGGCTGATTCATATTATTTAGGGGTTTGAGATTTTTGTTGATTTCAAAATATCCAGCCCTGATCACAGGTATCATCAGACTTTAAATCATCATTTTACAATTAAAAAATAACAAATATTTTAAGCCGTGCGATCAAATGGTAAATCTTTGGCTGAAGAATAAACTGAAGACTGCTGTTGCTTTGTATGGTGCTCGCCTTGGTCCACTTCGAGGAGCGTGTCCAACACGAACGTGGGTTATCAATAAGGTAAAAGAAAAGGAGAGCTTTGAATTTATTTTATATAGGCATTCGAATTGATGCTTCAAATTCCGAAAGAAATTATTGACGCCTCTTGGAGAAAAGTGAACCTCGAGCATCCGATGACCAATCAAGACTTTATTTTCGAGGAAGAAGATGATGAAGAATTTGATGCTGAAAATGGAGAATTCGAAGGTGGGGCTGAGGTGGAAGGAGAAGAAGAAGGTGCTGGGAATGAAAGGCGGAGATGGTGCTCAATTGGAAGAAGAGATGTTGGTTGCTGAGATTAATTGGGAAGAAGTTGGTGCTGAGAATGAAAATTACGGTGGTGCTCAAATTGAAGAAATTGATGAGGAAATGGAAGAAGAATGGAACATGGATATTGGACAAGAAGAGATTCAAGAAATCGAAGATTTGGAGGATTAAGTTTTCGGAAAAACTGCCTTATTTTGGATTATTACTGTATTTTTTTTATTGAAAAAAGAACGAATTAAAAGAATTAAATAGAAAAATTGAATTCGATACATTTTATGATAATTTTATTTCTAAAAATTTCTCTTCAAAAAAAACTTTGTTCAAATTCATTTTCTGAAGCATTTTCAAAAAGGCGCGCATGGACCTTCGACGAATCAGAGCGCCCGTCAGTGTTATGTGTGGTTACTAGCCTGACAAGAACAACCCAGACTCTGATGAGATTTTTTCCGCTTTCCAACACCCCATCAGTAGGTCACTTGCTTATTTTTTTTCGAAGATTTCTTTGCAATCATGAAGCTTAGAACTTCCGAGACTTTTTTTGTGTTAATCACCCGGTATTGATTCCGTGTACTGGGTCAAAGCAAGCTCCCACTGAGATTATGGCTCGCTTATGCTTTTCGGGCTCCCCGTGCAGCGTGTAAAGCACTAGCGCGCCGTCATTTTAACTTACTTATCTGATGATTGTGGCCGACTAGTAGAACCAAGTAAATTTATTTTTTGAGATTAAGCAGAAGGGTTTGATAAAGAACATATCGAAAGAAGCGTGACGTAGCTAGGCATGCTCTATATAATTCACCTCTTTGAAAGATAAATTTCGTGTTTTTCATAATATTCAAATTTTTTTTGTCAATTTTCAATCATATTTGGAATCAGCAGGTAAGAAAACATACTGTATGTTACATACAGTGATAACCCATTTTAAAGCCCACCATTTTTAGGCCATTTTTTACAACCTTTTCAACAGGCATTTATAGCGAAACTTCTCGATCAAAATCTTCGCTGAATTTTTTTAAAAACAACTCGGGCTGCGCTTTCAAAAGAAAACTGTCAATACGATTTGTTTTAAATACAGTGATAACCCATTTTAAGGCCCACCATTTTTAGGCCATTTTTTGAAAAAATCCGAAAACAGTTTACCCGCTAAATTAAGCGAAAAAATGAGGTTTCTTCATCGCTATCAGGATAAGATTCAGCCCGAAATAATCAGAACTACAGTTGGTCCTCGATTGATTCGAGAATCTAGCGTTGCAACTGTACGCTTTTAATCTTTATAAGAACTTTATAGTGCAGCAAATTTAAATAGAATTTCAAATTTAAGATTTCTGTTCTTCTGTGGAGAATCAGTTGGAATTTTCTTAACTTTGAATAGCAAAAATCATTCAATGATTTGTCTTTTGGTTCTCACGTATTAGAAGTTTTATTTGTCTTACTACAACATCAACAGTCTTTCAATTTAAGGATCAAAGCTGATCTTTCGATTCAAAATCTTAATATACTCTTCTTTCTTCCTTGTGGCTGTTTCTGAACGAGTTCAGCAGGCCAAAGGCGAGAATTTGCAGTAAATCCTGTTTTATGCCGAACAAAAAAAAATTGTAATCCGGCTCAGCCCGAAAAATGTCCGTTTTAAGGCCACTTTTGAGATTCGCTGTCATCCAAAAATCGGCCTTAAAATGGATTTTCACTGTATTTGCATGAAAGAAAAAAAGAAAAAAGAAAAAGAAGAAAAGAAAAGCGAAAATTGGGCTCTCGCGCTCCCGTGATAGTCCCTTCTTAAATTATATTTCCCTTTTGGGGCTCTAAAAATTTTTTTTATGTCCGACCCTAGTCCAAAGTTTGATCAGATATTGGCATAAGACCACCAATTAATTTTTACAAATTTTTACAATTTTGGAAATCTTTACTCGTGAACAACTTTACTGCATAATGGCAAAATACCAAATAAATACAGGGCTTTTGTGGATTTTCTTAAGAAATTTTTGCTGTGATTTATCCCGTTAAATAAAGGTTATTTATTGGCAGTCTTTATTTGGGACAAGTGTTGCTCATTTATTGAGCTAAGCAAAAATAGCAATCGTTCAGCTCAGCAATCTTTGGCCAGCTCAAGATGTATAGTGGTCAGTAGTCGGGCTAGCCCGCTCAGTCATTTTTGAGAGAACTGACCTCAGACCAATAATTGTCTTCACAATGCCAGGTAAGGTCAGAATAAACTATAACAATATGAAAATCTTTCGATGTTGGATTTGCCGATTAAGATTTGGGTTATGAAGAGAAATTTCTAAACCTTCGACTTGTTTTTTCTTGTCGTAGGATATGTTTTTGTGCAATATAGTGAACATTGAACTGAGGTACTTAAATCGCGACCTAAAATTATTTTGCTCATATTTTTCTGTAAATCCTGTCTGAAAAACTTCACAGTCTTTTGTATAAGAGTAAACAGCTGTATCTTTTGATTTATGTTGGTGATCTTTTAGGGACTGGATTTATGACTGTTTTATTTGGACGCGAAGAACCTTTTGGGAAACAAGGAGCTTGCAAATGCGTGGTTTATTGAGGAAAACAGCCCGGACATGGACAAAGTGGCAGTAGAGAGAAGTGTAATTAAGAACCGGTTGTACATGTGAAAAATAGTTGGGCGGATGGTTCGGGGAGCTACGACTCGCCGGGATTTTCAGGACTTGCCGGGACCTTGCATAATAAATCCCGGCGAGTCGTAGCTGGTCTAGAAATTCTGATATAAATACCCTCAATCATTCTAAAATAAAGGTTAGGATAAAAGTTTTACCAAATTTAGCTTTGCAAAACTGATGAAAGTTTACTTGAAATATTTTTTCTTTATAACAGAAGACATTATTTATTGTTAAATTTTGTTTTTAACTGTGTGTTTAGTTGTTTGACAGTGAGATTTGGTTGAAGCATCGTGTAAGTTTGTATTTGTGTGATTTTTCTATTTTAATGTTAGGGTTAGGGGTTCAAAAATATTTAACTGCCAATCATATTTGTTTCGATAATATTCTATTAATAACGATCGAACAAAAACAATAATCGGCGAATTTTTCACTTTTTTACTTCCGTAGAGTTCTGTTATCTAGAGTTTCTAAAACATCAGCTACGACTCGTCGGGATTCTGCACATCTAATCCCGGCAAGTCGTAGCTCGGCCAGAAATCCCGGCGAGTCGTAGCTCTCCCGGATGGTTTGCTGTGAAATATGCACATTACCGCGCATTCACCCATGAATGTGCGCGAGGTTTTGGTTGATAAATGAGGACTTGAAAGTGGTTTATATGGTAAAATATTAGTCAAAAGTCCAAAACCCAATAATCTATGATTCTCATTTTTAAAAAATCTGATTCTTCGATATACAGTATATCATATACAGTGAAACCCCAACTTAAGGCCACTTTTTGGATGACAGCTAATTTGAAAAGTGGCCTTAAGGGTACTACCTTCGATTTCCGCAACTTCACTGTTGAATAACTCGAAAATCTATAGTAATCTCAGGAAATATATGGCCTCTCGTAGTAAAACTGGGGGGCGGGCGGCCACGGTACAAAAGTGAAATTTGTACCGCCGGTACAAATTTGTAACGGCGGTAAAAATTTGTACCGTGGCCGCCCTACACCCGTAAAACTATCTTAGATCTTTAGATTGTCAGAAGGGTTTTTAGATTGCTCAACGAAAAATTGGCTAAATTTTAGGTTAAAGTTGTCAACTTTGCCAAAATTGACTGTATTCAGGGTCGAATAGCTCAGAAATTAGTCTGAAAACATACCTTTCTTTTATTTTTTAATCGTACTATAGAGCTTCATCTTCAATCTGTCAGAAGGATTTTTGGATTGAAATGAAAAAAGTACTAAAAATGATTTTTTGAAAATTTCGTCTCTTCAATTTTGCCAAAAATGTGCATTTTTCAAAAGTTTGCGGCACATTTTTCCCTCTAAAATCTATAAAATACTTCTGATCATATTTCTAAGCATACAAAAATGATCTCCTTGTTATACGCTTTCAAAAAAGCCCTTATTCGAAAAAATCAAAGACCAAAAATTTTTTTCGAAAAAACTTCGAGAGGCTTTATCTCGGAAACCATCAAGAATTTCAAACTAGGATCAATATAAAACTTAGAAAAGATTTTCTGAAGAATCTATTTTTATACCCACTTTTATCAGTTTTAAAGATAAAGCCCATTTTGGAAATCGAAGGTAGTACCCTGGGGTGATTCCCCAACTAAGTTAGATGACGCTAAAATTTTTTGATTTCTGGAGTAAGGGACTAAATCATGGGAATCAAAAATGAAAGGCGGAGGGTCTTATCAGAAATTTCTCGCACGAACTAGGAATGAATTGTAAAAACTGAATGCGCCATTTGAATGAAACCTTAGGTTATTTTTTCATTCTCGTAAAAATAAATTTGCTGCAAACATGTCGCAAGAAGAAAAGAGAATCCACATGACATTGGCCGAGAAAAAAAGATATGCAGAGATTCTAGTGAAGACGCCGAAGGAGAGTGATGCAAAGAAGATTATCAATGGGAACTTCGAAAGAAACATGATGGAAAAGAAATTCCGACGCGGACATTTTCTCGACTTTATGATCAGCGGTTCAAAATCTTGGATTCTTTATCGAAACGAAGGTTTCAAATGCCTCATTAATCGAAGATTTAATCAATCGAGCAATTTGAAAAGAAGATCAAGGAAGAAACCGGAAGAAGGAAAATCAAAATCAAAACACGTGGACTTTCAAATTTCATTCTAAAAATAAGGAACGATTTTTTTCCCGATGATGAAGAAATCCAGCAGCTACAAATTGAAAAAAAAGCCTTAGGTTGGGTTTTTTTCGGATGACAGATTTCGGGGATTTTTCAAAAAAGTGGCCTTAAGTTGCTTGAGGTTTCACTGTACTGTTCCCCGCAGGGGCATTTAAAGGAATACATCACATTTATGGCTGCATATTTTTCAGGTTTTGGCAAAAGATTCCCGACAATAGTATTACGCATCGATACAGTCCTCAGGTACGTATGAAGGTTTTAGCCCCATTCCTTGATTTTTTTTATTTAAAGGGCTTGACGGCCCTTCGGGCCGTTTCACCACCAATCGTTGATTTGTTCATTCAAGGGGCTTGTCGGCCGTTAAATTTAGACGGCCGTTAAATCCAGACAAATTTTTTTAATTGAAAAA